CCTACAATGTTACAGATTTGTTGTTCATTCCGACGTTTGCACAGTAAATGTTTCACGTCAAACCAAATTACGTTATCCATTTAGCTAGTGAATGCGAATAACCGATCACCAGTGATTTCGGTTTAATTCACATCATCAAAAACTGAACTTATGTTGAATTACTGTATTCGAATATTTTTATTTTATTTGTTATTATCATGAAATGAATGACTATTTGAAATAAAGTTACTTGGATTTTGAATGGTATCAGATTTTCACATAAACCTTTGTTGTTATCAGACTGCATTTCTAAATAATTGAAAAGAAGCAACAACATTGACAATTATTCGTTTCATGAGTTTTCAAATACACCCTCACTGATTATTCATTTCTCTATTACCAATCTTGTTTGTTTACATTGAATCAAGAACAATGAGTAAATGTTGCTGTTTGCAATCTCCTTCCTTGGACATCAGACATTCAAGGCATTCTATTGTGTTTGTGACAATTTACTCACACAGCACGTTCTCTCTTTCATAATACATGAAATATTCATAATTTTCGAAAGTATAGTTTTTTTCAAAATTCATCTCCTTTTGAACACGTTATTCAAATTGCAGACGCCATCATCGATTTCAATGCTATGAGATGATGTATACATCATGGCACCCTTGTTAGCTCACAGAGGAATGACAAATGGAATGCATGCAAAATTATTTCAAGTGTCTGAAAATCCATTGAATAATATGGAAGTTACTCAATTACCCTGAAGATCTGCAGTAGTTTTCTCAAAACACGTATATAGTTCCGATAGATTTAGCTGAACTGTCGCTATATGGAATAAGAGAAATTTAGACGGAGAGCGAATCATAATATAATGCAGAAATACAATGAAAAATGTGAACATTTCGATGACCAAATATTGTTAGTGAAGAAGGTTATTCAGCACTGCGTCTTATGAGTGATCGTTGTCGCAGATGCATTCTGGGTTGATGAACTCAAAATGAGGTGTGAATTCGTTGCATCTTATGATTTTAGTTGAGTACAAGATGTAAATCCATCCGTGATTCAGATAAATGTGACGTCGATTTTGACGTTTAGTTAAATATTCACGGTCGACTTCTCTATATGTCCTAAATTAGACAACATGCGCAACATACGAGTTCTTTATACTGAACTCATCTCCTCTGTTGATCAGAATTCTCTCGAACAAATAAACTAATGTTCGTCATCAACTGACACTGTGCTGTCTGAGTATAGATATTTTAGAGGTTGGAACTCATTTTCAAACTGATGAAATTTATAATTCTGTTGAACGACTGTTCATACACACTGTTTCCTTCGTTGTTTCGAAGTAAGTAAAACAGATCTTTGTTAGTTGTATGCGAATATTCCTAATTCGTACTACACGGTGTTGTAGATTTCTGCCTATATACACATCGCACAATAATAATACTGACGATAATATTAATTATTGATATTAATACTAGGATCGAGATATTCAATGCAAAAGAGATTACGATACTTGAACAATTCGACTTATTTACTGTGAGAAATGAGATGTGGAAAACTGTATCATCCATCCAAACTAAAAGACACTAGTTCTCAGTGATAATGTGTGTGCATTTTCGACAGAATACTTAGCTACAAGCTACTCTCTGAATATCACTGATATGAAGCATGAATCAAAGTGTTGGGTTAGGCGAATGTTAATCACACAACAATCTAACTCAATAAACAATCGCAAATGAGAGAGAAATTCAGGTGCATGAAAATTGATGGAACAAACTAAAATACATCTGGAAATATCGACCCATAGATTTTTGTTAATTATTTTCCGATCTGTATTTACTGTCGACCACATATTGCACCACTTTCTTCCTAATATTTCGAAAAGTTAACCTCAGTGCGTCAACTAAGCGCAAATAATCTAACTGAAGACGAAATTCGTAATGAAAAAACAGTGGCGCGCACTAGAATACTGAGCTCACATATCTTGAACGAGTCTTCGAACAAACGAATTATCCTATCGCTTACTTCACTCAACGAATGTCTAGCTTAATAGTTTTGCGAATGTTTGAAGTAAATTTTCTGTACGAAATCCGTATTCAGTAAACGAAATTGAAGTACCAATTCAACATTCACTGTCGAAAATATCTTAGTGGATGCAAAAAGTATGTTTTACCGGATATCACAGAATTGAAAGACATGCCATTGTAATGTTCACTTGCACAGTCGACATCTAGAAAGATTAGTTTATTTTTCATAGTAATATATTTTTTACTTGACTTACATTCATTGATTTCGTTTACTGCATCCGGAATTTCCACGCTTATTTTCTCTGAAACATGCACGACAGTGTAGAATGAATCGTTTGAAGTAAAATGTTAATCTAGTTATTTCTTCGACATATAATCATGTTGTACTCGCATTGTATGTAATCAGTTGACACAACAGTGACATAAATTAGGTTACTTTGTACAAGACTATTTATCAGGTCGTTCATCAGTTTCATGTGATAATATTGGCAAACTGGATCAAAATAATCTAATGACTGAATTAATATTTCGACTAGTTCACATTTATTTGGTAAGAAAAGATGAATCGCAAAGAGCACGCATTGGATGTACGTAAATGTTAGAAATCAGCACAGTATTTGATTCCTACAACTATCTTCTTAGACATAGAAATGCTGACATTGATTTTCCTGATCAGGTTTGTCAATCAGTTGTACCTACAACCGCAAACTGCAAAATGTCGTCAAACTAATTACTTTGAAGTTTATCTGAAGTACCATCAAAGATTTTGAATAAACTTACTCTATTTGAATATCGATATCATCCACATTCTAGTTACCTAGTTGGTTTCATATTAGGATTTGAGGATTGACCTTGCGTTGAATGTCACAACGTCTGCACTTTAATTTTTACCCCACTAATCGAGTCTATAACCTTTCTTTACAAACATCAGCGCTTTACACTTTGAAGTTAATATAAACTCCAAATCGCAAGCACATCCAGACATAGACCAGTCCTCAACTGGAAGAAACGTGCTTCCCAGATTTCAATCCTAACCCCTATCCATCTATGATTATCAGAACACAAATCAATCTATACACTTTCGAAATATACTATAATTGCATTAGTTACACTGTAAATTTATTGAAATCGATTAACATTTAAATCTCGAAAAATTGTAGATGCATTCATCGAGCAACTTCAACCGATCAATATAAATATTGAATAGCTTATGTGAAGTTCGATTTGACCATCAACTTATCAGTGTGAAATCTGGTGAAAAGGAAAAGCTTTGCAAATAAAATTACCTTTGAGTGAGCTTATTTTGTCATCGTATTGCAAAATTGATCTTGACAATGTTTTAATATGGTCTACAAAATCAATTATTGTTTTACATTAAAACAATTCACTTGTTGTTATTATTATTATAATATATGTTCATTATCAACAAATATTGAGCAGTAGTATTGATCAAATGTTTTCAAATTCGGTGAATATATTGATGTAGATATATTGACAGAGCATAATATTCATTTCATCGACTACTTTCTGCGCTGATATAATTTCGCAAGTACAGGCACAACGTGTTTTCATTTCTAAGTGACTTGCTAAGATAAGTGAATCAAAGTACTTTTCACTCAAATAGTATGCATAGATCAGTGTCAGGAAAAGACAATTTGAGACTAGACCGAGAACGGTGTGCGAAATTCTATCTGATACTTACCTGTCGTAGAAGGAAGCTTCGTTTCAACTTTCTGCAGATAATTTGAGGTCCCGTCTGAAAATAAGGAAAACATCTTGCAGCAATACATATTTCAGTGGAACGATGAAATTGATTGCTTGCAATCAAGAACATTGAGTGAATAGTAGAGCGATGTTGTTTGAGAAATAAATAATCGTAATCATAAGATTAATAATATGCATGAACTGAACAATGTCACAACATCATTAAGAAACTGAAATCCCTGTACTGAATCCTGTGTTATCAACAATATCACGAATTCTTATCGTACATTAGATTAACGTCAACATCTCAGAAAATATTTGAGAAAGTGAAATCAAAAGAAATGTGATAACTTACCAGTCTGTTCAGTTGATCTAAGAAGGACAAGAAGTGAAGTGAAGTGGACGAGAACCGCATGATGCATATTTTCTCATTCTACGATCGTCTCCTACTTTCATTTCATTACACAATTGTGGTGGGCGTAGAATAAGAAACACTGAATGAATTTCATGGTAGAGTTATCTGATAAGAACAATAGAGAATAAAAGAAGTTCTTTGACACCTTGACTACATTGTCTGGTCAGTATGAGCTTCATTCTCCTTATGTCTAGACACTGATTGGAGTGAAGCGCATTAGCCTTCTGTTTGAAGGAAACACTAATGATCTTGTCAAGATGACTTGACAGCTGATAAGAAGTGGTTGTATTTTCATAAAGCAGACATTTTGATTAGAAAAATGGTGAAAGAAGTTACCGTGAAATAACTTGTTCAATTTTCAACCTTCAAAGAATGTGATAAACACAATCTGATATTTGTCTGTATGAAAAGATAATATGTGTTTTGAAGAAGAAAATCTGTCACACAATTTATGAACTTTCATAAAAGATCATGAAACTACTTTCATTCATTTGTTTTAGGTCCACCTCGGAACTGGATGTTCAGTCAAACAAACTAAACAGTATTTGTATCAGTAGAAGAAGAAGATTTATTAGTAGTATCACTTGTAATAGTGGTGTTAGAATCCGTATTATTTGTAGTGTTTGTATGAGCAGTAGTGTATATCGGTCGCAGTAATTGTTGTATTGCCAGTTGTTGTCGTTATTATTGCTTGTAGTGATTGCGTTTATAAAAGTAGAAGCATTATTATCAGTGGTGATACTGGTAGTTGTGGTAGTATTTTCTGCAAAAGTAATAGTATTCGTGATAAGGTGAACATACACAGTCGTCTGCGTAGTCATACTATTAGCATTAGTAGTTTTCATAGTAGTAATAAGAGTATCATGATTGAAAACCGTATTGGTAGCAGAACTTATATTACTTTAAGTGTTATTGTGAGCAGGAGCAGTGAAAGTGGTATAGATGTTGATTTTGGTCGTGTTTGCCGAAATGTTGGTACAACTGCTAGTAGTACGTGTATTGGTTTTTGTTATAGTTGCGGTGGTCGCAGTACCAGCAGTGCTAGTTTTATCAGTATCATTAATTGTAAAAGTCGCAGTGATATTACTAGCACTGGCAGTTTTGGAGGTAATAGCAGCTGCAGTATGAATAATAGAAGTAGCCCTGAATTTGTTGATTCAGCAGTAATTTTCGTAGTCGTGTCGGTGTGAGCGGTGAATTTAGACGTTGTATCAGTTGTATTGGTAGAAGTATCATTGGTACTGGTGGCAGAGGCAAATTGTTAGTACCAGTGTAAGCAGGAGCAGTAGAATGACCAGTACCAGAAGTAGCAGTTGTTTTAGTAGTAGGACTGACAATTTTAGTTGAAATGTTAGTTTGAGTAAACTTAGTAGTAGTAGAAGTAATTGCGATGAAAATTGTTTCTTTCTAGTAGTATTGATAGGTTCAATAGTATGAGTTGCAGCGATAGTAGTAGAAGAAGTATTATTTGTCGTTGTTCTATCAGCATCGGTATTAGAAGTATTATCAGTCGTTTTATTAGTGGTAATAATGTCAGCAGCAGTAGTATTAGTAATAGTAGAAGTAGTGTGGTGTTTGCTTTTTATACGAACGATACAATTTGTGTAACAAAGGACGCGAATGAAGTCTCACGGTTAGAAGAGGTAATCGGAAAGCAAATGGATCAAAAGCAAGAAGTAAATGGAGTACCGACAGGAAGTAAAGGAAGCGACAGAAGGAGTAGAAGAAGGATGAAGCGTTGGAGTTAACGACTCAAAGATGGTGTGCAAATAGTGTTCAATGAAATGTTGTCGTTTTTTATTGACAAAGAGTGTAAATTTGCATTATATAATCTTCGGCGCCTGCCTCAGTCTTCTCAGTAGTAGTAATAATAGTAATAGTAGTAGTAGTAGTAGCAGAAGTAGTAGTATAGCAATTGTAGCATTAATCGTAATCGTAAAATAATTAGTGAAAGAAGCAGTAATGGTTGTTTTATTATCAGTATCAGTGGTAGTTTTAGTATTTGAATAGTCATTATTTATGATAGAAGTAGGATTATCAATCATCGAAATACTTAGAGCAATACAACTACTGCTAAAACTGCTTCCCTTATTACCGATACCACTACACATACCAACTATGAAGCTATCAGTACAATACTAACAGAAAATGGATTTTACACATTTCATGAGTCAACATAATCTATCCTGCTTTCGTTTCCTACTGTAATGACGCTAGGCGTTGCTTGCTTATCGGTATTGAACAATCTGAATCCATTTTCTCATCAGCGTTGGCTCCAATCATCTTATGTATAAACATTAATTGGAATGAACCAAATATGCCGTTTCTGTCATTTTTCAAAAATCTGATCTGTTATTTTTAATAATCCATTGTTTGAAATTTACTTAATGAAGTTTAGTGCCGTGAGGTTATTTGCATACCGATTGAAGATCCACTCTGAACCGCAGGAGCAACTCAAATAAGACGCAACACGCATCATCAAACAACCAGTGATATGTTATTTGAAAACAATTCAATTCGAATTAAACCAGTTTCAAATTTTGCATTATTCATGTCAAATCAATAATCTCCTCCCTTGTTTAGTGCATAAAATAATAACTGTATTTCAATTCACCCACTGTTTTCATTGAAAATAAACTGACACACATTTTCCATTAGGTTCAACAAAATTATACCTTGATCACTTGAAATTACTGGATCATGTACATACCATGTCCTTTGTTTTCCGAAATTTCATGTTACTTCCATAATGGTTGCGCTACTTAGGCGTAACAGGCATGTGAACGTAAAACTTTGTCCTCTATAACTAACAATTTACCGGATGGAACAGTGTGAACGATGTCTGCATCGAGTGTAAATATGTAATTTACGCTTTATCCATCCAGTTTGTGTGCTCTGATGTTACCATATGGACTGTTTTACTTGTTGGTAGTTAACTAACGCGTACTACGTATAAAATGTCAACTAGTCAAGAGGACATTCGATGCGTGTTGAAGTAGCAGGACCGTTGCCAAAGACGTTCATATTGTGAACAAATTGATGTGTTTGGTGGATTATCACGTGTACTACATCTTGTGTATCACGTCGAAACCAGTTATTGGGATAATTTTACAATCCAATATCGAATCATGTTCAGTTCAGGTACGCAAAGTTTATTTTGTTTAAAGTATTCTATATTTAGAGTTTATTTGCTGTTTTGAGGTTATATAACCTGGTGAAGACGTGAACTAAATAATTAAACAAATATTTGATTTGTACCGAAAAATCTCACATCGAAACGGTGAATGAATCATTGTTAGACAACTGGATTGCCGTTTTGTCGCAGCAAGGTACATACAGCATTGCAACCTGGGACACTCGTTTCTGTGCATGAAAGCTGCAAATGTGTACCACACATCTGCTCATGATATAAAGATTGTCTTTTACATTTATTTCATTACACAATTGTGGTGGGCGTAGAATGAGAAACACTGAATAAATAAAGTGGTTGTATTTTCAAAAAGCAGAATTTTGATTAGAAAAACGATGAGACGATTTATAAGTAAAACATTTTACAAAACAACAGTGATCTAGCTCGTAAGAAGCTTCAACATTCAGTCCAAATAAAACAAACAAAGAACACTTCAATAGAACAGATGTATTAATCGCCTTATTAAAAGTCAAAGGATCAATCGAATATACTTTAGAATGGATCAGTTAGAAAAGTTTCACACTTGAAATTTAAACAACAGGTTACATTACGAAGGTCCTAACGTTACGTGCATTTTCCTGCACACTAACACAACAGTATTATATAAAGCGACAGAACTGACGGCTTTATGACTATCGTTGGAAATCTAAATTACAAAAGTGTGCCACCGATCTGTACAATGATTATTAAGAATTACCATGCTCGCAGTCAAGGTTTTTAAAACGTTTGAACTTTATTGTGCGAAATTTAATTTGACGTTTGAATCAGGCTATGTTACGAAACGTAACTGTTTCAGGGGAATCGTGTGTTTTAGTACTCTTCGTGATACGATACATTGTCTTGAGTGTTTCGTGAACCTGGATAAAATTGGTTCTATCTCCTCGTACTTCTCAATTTCAATGGTATATCTGTTTCTATTTTACCCTTCATATGACATCTCATTGCATTTCAGCTGATGTCTTCTCATGTTGAAAATAATTGCGCAAAATTGAAAACACAACTAAAATGCACAGGATAACTTTTCATACATCACATCACAGCTCCACATTACATAGCTTGCCTAATCGGTATTATCGAGAAGACAGTTTTCTTCACATCATATGCACACATACTAGAAACAGTCGTTGAAAATTCAATTTCTAAGTTATGTTCGGTTGCTTAGGATGGCTGCTGGTATGTGGAAGTCCGATGAGTTGATTCAACTGATGTCTGAGCAGACCCAATGGCTCGTTGATTAGTTAGGAAAAATATATAAAATAAATGCAATCATATGATTTCCGCTTGAATTGCGCAACTTTTACTGGGTTGGTCGAAAGAAGGTGCTCTGAACTGAAAAATTGATTTATCATGTTCGATGTGATAAATGGATCATACCTCAAACTCTGATTTCATCTTGTTTCAATACCAACACTGAGGTTTTCCGATGTTTATCGACGAAGAACAAATGAAGAATTCATGTTGATAGATAATTATATTGTGAATTTAGAGAACAGCAAAACAGGCATTTGTTACTTGAACAGAAAATTATTTGTTTTAGTTCATAATCAAAATAAATATTATTCACTATAATACTGCACATCATTATCTTCTTATATTTGAACTGGATTATTTGAGATGATTAACTGTAGATAACAACAAGAAATGGATTATTGAATGACTGGTTATTCGATTCATTCAAAGAAGATTAACTTAGGATGATCAAATAAACAAACTTCAAACACTGAAATCGGACTGAGTCAAAATATCTGCATTCATCTGATCAATCGTGGTTAAGAATATGATTCTTTCAATCATGGTGTCGAATCTCATTCGTTTTTACTGAATCGGTAACTACCACGGTTTTCAAGTATTTTACCAGGAAACGGAAAACCGTTTTTCCAATTATCACTTCGCTAAGCTTTACCTTTCATCTTAGAGCAAGACCGATTACTTTCAGGTTTTCTCACTACTACTCTTTCTCTCAATTCAAGTCACCGACGGAATCGTGAAGGTCTTCAAATATTTGAAAAGTGATGAGTTGCAGTGAACAGCTCGAAGCTGCTGGATGGCGCAGATGTCACTGATGATCGACATATACCATAAATCACGCAGCAGCGAATGCAGCATTGAACGAATATGGAAGCTGTAGGCTCAGCTGCGCATTTACAACAGCCAACGTCGTCACAGAATAAGTCAACAATTACAAGGCTCAATGCCAAACGGCATGCTTTCCTTGAAACGATAAGAGGCAAACGAGGAATGAAGAAATACTAGATGAAATTTATACCAAGGTTCAGGCAAATTAGGTTACTGAATGCTTGTCGGTGGCCTGTACTCAATTTCCGGTGACAAGTGTGAGTAAGGAAGTGATTAACTAATTATGTGTGTCTGTGAGTCCACTAAACTGATGAACGACATTCTTCCCAACTCAATCTTCCACCACGTTTATCATCATTCAAATTTCGAGCAACTAATTATTTTATTTATTGATGTCATATTCCTCAACATACGTCATTCGATCTGTTACTTGAGTAGAATTTTCTTGATTCTTGAAAGTATATCATAGTGATCTGAAATTGCAGAAAACGAAATAAATTATCGACTCAACTATTGAAGTCTGTGAGGTGAATGATGCGTATTAACGTCCGTTGAGAAATAGTTGCAATATAATTACAGACCGAAGCATAAAGACAATAAACCATTACGTAACCAACAGCAGTTGGCTCTGTCTAATCCTAACAACGAACTGTCTGCAACGAAATAGGTGTTAGCAGCAAACAAATATGAAACCTGATACGTTGTAACCTCAAGTCGAGGGCAGATCAGACTGAAAGCCTTACTTCAATTATGGAAATCAAACGATCAACTTATCAAATTTATTAGGCACTGTTAGCTTTTGCCAATATTTTGTCATGTAAGACAACCTAGTAATGTGAGCAATTTAAATTATCAATCACTGACAGTAAAATTGGATACTGATTCTACTCAAGAAGA